TTCTCCATCCTGTCATATATAGAAACAGAATCTGATTTTTTTCAAGATTTTTATCCATGAAACCTAAAAGAAAAGCCTCTAGTTTCAATTGCACCTTTGTTTTAAGAATTATCTGAATTAAAATACATATCTGATCGCAATATTTTTTTAACTTTCTTAGATTTCCACCAGAGGTGATAAATACCTTAGCATACCCTTATACTATCAGCCCTGGAGGCCATCTTTTTCTCTGGATCTTCAGGGCTGCTACACTTAGTGCTGTGGGAAACTGGGAGGAGGGATTGCATGGAGTTGTAGAGATATCTAGCCATAATAACATTTTTTTCTCTGGGAGTCAAGGACGTTCAGACTGCACCTGGAGTGGCGTGACTGGGAGGCATCTCTAGATGGGATGGTGGAGTGATTGGACCATGTGATGGACATGTGGGTGTAGGGGAAGGGACTTTGACTTTCTTTTGGATGGGGAAAACCCGGAAGCTTTCAGATTCAGGTTTTCCCAGATGTGCCAGTATGACATCTCTAATAAAGTGGAACTTTGAGGAACTTCTAGCCTCAGAGTCTTCTTTCGTTGGGGGTGTTACTTGGAACCCTGATATTTACATCTTTGGCAATTTATCATATGTTAAATATCAATTATATTTCATCTTATAAAAAATCTCTTTTAAATTGTAATTCAATATGAATTTCAATTTCCTTCACATATTTCCCATTGGTCAAGCATTATATTATATCCATTTTTCCCATTTAATCATGCAATCTTGAACGTCTTCCATAATTATTTTTATAAGTTTATACATCTTAGATATAACATGCCAATTAATTAATTAATTAATTAATTAATTAATTAATGCAAACCATTGACAAGTATATCTCTTCTCCAATTCTTATCTTGTTTTAATTTAGGATGACCTCCAAAATAAGTCAGTAAGTCATCATAGATCAGCCAAGTTTGTGTAACTATCATTTCTCTTCTAAAAATGCTTCTTGAAATGATAGCCAAAGAGAAGTTTGGGCAGTCATTCTTGTTTTATAATTGTTCCAGATCTTCAATATGGCATACCTAACAAAATATTTTGAAAATCTATATTAATCTTAACTTTGTCATACCATAAGTAGCTATGCTACTCAAATCTCAAATCATGCCCTTCCAACTCCAATAATTTCTTATTTCTCATAATCACCTACTCTTTCATTCATACCAGACATTTATAACCTTTTTTTTTTCAACTGTTCATTTTTTTTTTTCCAGAGGAACTTCCTGTCTCTTGTTCACATTTCGGTAGAAACCATGGAAGTATTTCTGGATCCAGTCAGTTGCACATGATCTGTTAAAATAGTGTCACATTCCTAAAATCTTTAAGATCATTTTCTTTTCTTTTTGTCAGTTTACACACCAACCAATTTAATTAATAAAATATATTAATATATAAACATCACCATCCATTATAACACATACATTTAACTTACTGTATAAGTAAGTGAAACCAACTAAACCACAGCCTTGCCTCTGGGCAACTTTTCATAAATGAAGCTAAGGAAAAAGGTGATACTGAGTATCATTTGCATATGAAGGATAGCCTCTCCCAGTGATTTCACATAATTGTTAAAATGAGGGATAAAAGTGAGCTTTGAACAACCCTTACTAAAAATTGGCACATATTGTTAGCAGGAATTAAGTTCAGTTCAAAGGAGTCTTTGTCTTTTTAGAACCATAATCCTCCAACTCTTCCTTTTGGAAATGACCAGCCAAATAGGAATGAAAGTGCTGAAAAACTACCCCAATTCCCCAAAAGACTGCCAGTTGAAAAAAAAAACCCTCTTCTTTGTGGCAGCCTCTGAGATATTAGATAGAGAAGCAGGAAGTGAAGTGTGAATCCCACATAGCTGTCAAGTAGGTAGGGCAAAATTTAGTCAGGGATGAATATATGGCTGGGAAGGACATTTTTCATGATTCATTATTAATAAAATCTCCTGGGAATAAAACTTTCTTCCTAATAACCATATGGCCATATAGTCTTCTTTGCAATGATATGGACGTCTTTTATGATAGCCTTCTTCTGGGATTTTTTTCAACATGCCCATCTAGTAGTAGTGGAATTTCCTGGAGATCTCTTATCCAATTACTAGCCAGGGGTGAGCCTGCTTCAAAATAATTGAAGGCCAAGCTAACATATTATTAATAACCACTACAATGAATTAAAGGGACATGGTAGCTCAGTGGCTAAGACACTGAACTTGTTGATGAGAAGGTCGGCAGCTCAATGGTTCGAACCCCTAGTGCCGCATATCAGAATGAGCTCCCATTACTTGACCCAGCTTCTGCCAACCTAGCAATTCGAAAGCACGTAAAAAATGCAAGTAGAAAAATAGGGACCACTTTGGTGGGAAGGTAACAGTGTTCCGTGAACCTTCAGCATTTGGTCATGCCAACCACATGACCATGGAGATGTCTTTGGACAGCGCTGGCTCTTCGGCTTAGAAACAGAGATGAGCACCACCCCTAGAGCCAGAAATGACTAGCACGCATGTGCGGGGGAACCTTTACCTTTACAATGAATTACATCTTGTATCAACTACCCTGATGTCTTCCTCCTCATTCCCTTTTTATCACTTCATTTGAATAAGCTCTATCTTTGCCATCAAAAATATTAAGGAAAAAAACCTCTGAAGGCACACAGTTTACCTGGATTCTATATTCCCGGTAGCGTAAATTTATTGTATTTCTTCTTATTTTGAACTAGTTGATATTGATGCAGTTAGCATATGCAATAGGGGCAAAATGATACACAGAAAAAGGCACAGGAAGCCATTTCTAGCAAGTACCTGTTTGGTCATCAGACTCTAGCTTTAATCCAAAAAGATTTATAGCAAGTTGACTTGTACATGTAAAGTGAAATATTTTAAATATCCAGCAGATGTCACCACATCTCTACTGGTAAGTAGGTCTAGATAATTTAAAGGAAAGAAAGAAGGAAAGCAGTCCTTCCAAATTAAATTGTAAGGAGTTTTCATATCTATATCTATATCTATATCTATATCTATCTCTCTATCTCTCTATCTCTCTATCTCTCTATCTCTCTATCTCTCTATCTATCTATCTATCTATCTATCTATCTATCTATCTATCTATCTATCTATAAAGGTCGGGAAAGGCAAAACATGTGTCTTTGATACACAATTCAATTCAATTTTTTATTGTCAGTGCACAATGTGTAGAATGACATTGGTTGAGCTCCCTCAGTGCACCCCACCCCACCCCACCCCCAACACAATACAACTCACAGTGAATCTCTAACAGATGATCTCTAACTGAAAGCACCATGGAAATAGGTAAGGTGAGGTCCATTAAACTGAGACTGAATCCTGATTAAATAGAATACTGTGAACTGAGTACTACTGTGAGTGAGTATTATTGCTCTTTTCTGAAGTTGTTGAAACACAGAAAAGAGTTTTCCTAGATTCATCTTTGAAACATGAAGATAATTATGAGACAATTATTTTCATATATTGGCCAAAATATACTTTGCCTTATATAGGCCAAAAATCTTGGATCTTTATGGGTAACTTTGTGTCATCCTGGCCCAAAGCTATAGGCAAAAAAATAAAAAATAAAAAATGGAGCACTTTGGATTTTCATTAACCCAACTTTACATATTCGGTGGAAGCATGCAATAATAATGTTGTAATATTGAGACAATAAATTAAAGATGTTGATATCTAATTATATCTGGCATCACTTCTCAAGGACCAGCTCATTCACTTTCTTTAAACTCGCTATATACTTTAATCAAATTACAACCACTAAATATAGGAGACCATTTTCATTAGCTTGATTTGGTGCCCTTCTTATTTCTGTCCTAGCAGAGATATACAGTACAAAACTTTCTCATTTGGGCTACAGTTTTGCCCATAGGACAAAGAAGTTATAAAAATGTTAAACATGTTTTATTATATTCCCTGTTTTTATGCTGGTGCACAATCAGAGTCAATAACTGCAGACATTAGCAAATTTCATGGTGATTCTGGCTAATTTTCCTTACAATTTTTACTTTCAGATATTTATGAAATAATACTCTTATAACTCTTAACAGTAGCTACATTCTGCTATATACTATGTAAAATGTGCAGCTAGTGAACCAATTGAATTGAATTTATTTATTAATCAATTAAATTTTCTTAAATTAATTAAGCTTATTTCTATGATTGGTTCTTTTTTGTATATATGTAGCCTGTTTATAGTATTGAATTTTATTATATTCCATTCTTTGATGCAGATTTGTTCTTCGATACAATAAAAAGTAGGGAGAAAAAAGAAACGCTCTGAATTAACTCCTCCCCAATCCTGGAGAAAACTCCTCTTGGTTAGTTCTTGTGAAAGAACAATGACTTTTCCCAGAGTAAACTGCTGTCTTTCAGAGCCCTTGAATTAAGAATTATTTTCAAAGCCAGGTACAAAACGAAAAGTTGTCTTCCTCTTGATCTCTCCAAGCAGTTTATTAAAGAAGGAGGATGGTACTGCAGGGACACAATGCAAGCAATGTAGAGAAAATGAGCTAATTATTAACCTCAGAGCTTCCAGAAATATGCATGCAATATTGTTTCTTTAATGAAACCCAAGAGCAGAAGGAAGATGAAGCAAATGGGAGCTTTTGTCTGGTAGAAGTTATTCTTTTCCTGGATTTATTGTTATACTTTAAAAAAAAAAACAAGAACGGTCCATCATGAATAAATTGAAAGCAAAGAAGATGCCTCTTACAAAGGTTGAGGACACAATGGCTCTCAAATGGGCTAGGACAGTAAACCGTGGTGAGGAGCAGCGGTATGCTGAGAAGGTCAAAGCTCTCCAGAAAGCTATGACTCGCAGCTGCCTTGAAGTGGACCGAGAAAAAGCAACCCTTCTCAAGTTCAAGGCGAAAGTTCAGATGTCTTCAGGGCACCTTAGTGAAGGCTGTCCAAGAGCACATTTGAAAAAGAAATGCCTATCAAAATAATTCACTATTCATTAGGTGATGTTGCTTGCTCTGGAATTTATAGTCACTCCTTGAGAACTTTGGCATCTGGAAGACTTCAATTCTGATACTTAAAGTACGGAAAAGTAGGGCTGTATTTTGTAAACAACAGCTTTCAGATATGGCCTCATTTGGTAAGTTTTGTCTTGAAAATTAATCCCTGATTGAGTTTTTTTTTTAAATTAGAATAACTATGAAAGCATCCAGAAAAAGCTAATAATTATAACTGCAGTTCAAAGATTGGTCTGGATTGTATATTTAGTGTAGAGTTAATAAAAAGGGCACATCCAAAAAAAGGTTTTGGAGACTTGATACAGTTCAAGTCTCAAATATAAGAGACCTTTAATATTATATTATAAATATTAGAATATTAGAATATTATAAAATTATAAGATCCTGTAGTACAGTGGACTAAGCACTGTTATTAACATCTGCTGCTTGCAATTACTGCTAGTTCAAATCTCACCAGGGTCAAGGTTGACTCAGCCTTCCATCCTTTCAAAGGTAGGTGAAATGAGGATCCAGATTGTGGGGGCAATAAACTGACTTTGTATAAATATACAAAAGTATGAAGGCTATTGCTTAACGCATTGTAAGCCGCCCTGAGTCTCCGGAGAAGAGCGGCATATAAATTAAAGCAATAATAATAATAATAATAATAATAATAATAATAATAATAATACTTAAAACAAAAGAAGAAATGCTGAAAACTACATTAACATTTATACTTTTTTTTCCTAAAAGAGATATTTTGGTCTTCCCAGCAAGCAACAAGGACTAGAAGCAAATAAATTTACAGCTTGTGGTCACCAACATTCAGAAGAAATATAATTGGAATTTCAGACATATAAATATTGACTAGAAAAAAAAGAGACAAAGTAAACTGCAAGAAAATGGAACTTTCTCAGTATAAAGCCTTTTAAAATTTCACTTCATAATTCTTTGGGGTTCAGGACAAGTTCATTCTAAGTGGATGTGCATGGCGTTATATGGTATCAACCAGCCACTTCAGAACAGTAGTTTGAATATTGCACTGAAAAAAAGAGGAGCTGAGGCAGAAAATAAAAAGCAAAGCAACAAACTTTGGCTTGGTAGAGTATAACAAAGGAGATGTTTCTGGGGTTTTTGCTTGTTAATACAAGAAAATCAGCACCACCAACATCTTGCAGAAAAGGGCCCCCTTACTGGTTGTACCATTGGAGTGACAGTAATGTTGCAAACTTTCCACACCTTTCAATGTAGGTGTAGGCTAATGCTTTAAAGCAGGGGTGTTAAACTCGATTTCATTGAGGGCCGCATCACGGTTGTGTTTGACCTCGGGGGTGGAATGGGCGTGGCCAGGGTGGGCATGGCCAGCTTGATGTCATTCATATCAGGAGCACCTGTGGCAGCCCTAGTGCTCTGCCAGTGGAAACGGGCTTCCAATCTCCATTTTTGACCAGATCCGGCCCATGGGCCTTGAGTTTAACACCCCTGCTCTAAAGTTTCTAATTTGTAAATTATTTCCTTCTTTCTTTTTGGTAATGGATGTTTTTGCCTGGGAAAATTGACAAACTGTGAGAAAATAAAGGATTTGATTCAGTTAGACAAAGCAAATTTGCAGCACTCCTTTGCGTTGCTAAGGATACGTTATTGAAATCTCTTCCCATGCTTTTTTCAAATATTAAGATACATATGGATAAATTATGTTGTTCTTTAATAACATGTTTTGTGTATATATATTTTAATGACATCTCAGAATGCAATTCTATTTAAATGTCCATAATTTTCAGTCTTGAAAATACCATTTCAGTGTCGGTTTAATTGTGACCAGTTCATTTGTTGCTGGTGACCAGGCCCATGACAGTTAACTTGGCTAGATCCAAGTTAATTACTTATAAATATCTTATATTTCAGAACAAACTCACCATTTGTTCATTCATTTTATTATTTCATTTTTACACGCAGTCAGTTTTTGTTCTAATAGTTTCTCATCAATACAACACAATGCTTTTCTCTCAAATGTTTGCAGCATTATAATTAAATTATAGTAGAATTTGACGAAGTATTTTGATACTCTAAGCCAAATCCAGCGTTAGGAACACTCGGTGTACTCTGGAAGAAATAACTGAATGCAATGTGCAGCACAATTTTATCTCTAATTGTGAAGATGCTTTTTTTAAAAAATTTCAGACTTTAAAAGATGGTCTGATGCACCAATTCATCATAACAAAATACACGGGGATAGCTAGGGAACAAACAGAGAAAAGTTATTTTCAATAGTAGATTCTATGCACTCCAAAGAAATTCACCTGGGCTAATATTGACATTAATTTAAAGCAAAGGAAGCTTCTTTTTCATATACTTGTGTGTTTTCTCAAAGAATCAATAAAGGGTAGTAGACAAATATTTAAAATAAACAGATCATTCATACAGGGAGGGAGGAATTAATTCAACAAAAAAAACCAAGGGGATTAGTAGTATATGCAGCCTCTTATATAGAGGAAAAATCAGACAAATGAGACTTTTATAGGAAAATTGGGCACAAAAGGAGAAAATTGACCAAATAAACCCAATCTTGTTATATATTTCAAATGATATACATAAAACAAGAATTGATTAGTTATATTCTATACATTGGAAACTCTGATCACTACTTGGAAGAATTGGCCACTGGATTAGTTCTGAGGATTCTAACTTTTGTTATGGATATCTTACACCTTTCATAAATCTAAATATTAGCTTTTACTTTCTTTCTGGTGTCTTACTGTAGCTTGCTTTTTGTAGATTTTGTGACCTGGTTCGCCATCTTCAGAATTCTAGAACACTGGGCTATATTCATTTTGAAAGGTTAATGCAGAAGTAACAACAGAATCTAATAAAGTTAACAAAATGGTCCTATCATTTGGATAGTTTTAAATTACCAGGGGATTATGTTATTTTATGTAACTCATGCACTGGTGGAAATAGTGTTACATTTGTTCTATGTGCAACATTTGGCCTTATATATCAAATTTATATAAATTTCAAAATAAATAAATAATGGAACTACCTTGATAATATAGGAATGTATGATGCTTATATTAAAAACAACCTGACTAAAAAATGGTTCAAATTGCTAATTCCAAACAAAATTTTCAATTGAAGTGCCAAAATAATTTGACATATTCAGTTGAATCAAGTTACGTCATAATGATTGGAAACTTTGATGTGCTTTTGGTATGTACATGCGCAGACATTCTTATCAACTTGAATATATTTTCAAATAAAATCTACTTGATTTGACAATTGAAGTTGATGAAGTGAACTAGCTCAACTTGACTCAGAACTTAATCACAAATTTGAATAGAATTAATTGACTCTGAAATGAAATGGAAATGGAAATAAAATCCAGGGGTTTCTTGCAGACATCAGAAAGTGATAAATGGGGGCTTCAAGGAACTGACAAACCATTTAGTTTATCATCTTTCACTACTGTCTTTTTGGAGTGGGACAATTAAGTTATTGAGTGATTTATTTGAGTATATCTAGGATTCAGTGCAGTTTCTCATAAAGAAGAGAATACAAAAGAATACCCAAAGGATAACTGATGACTTGACAACCACATCAGCTCTTCTGGCAAGAACTGTACAATATCCATTAGAAAGTTGAAGATGTATCTCATAAATGTATTTATCTTTCATTTTTTTAAAAAGAGTTGCAAGTGATATATAATGATAACTGCCATAAATCTTAGAAGATGAGGGCCTTTCTGTTTCGAGGTTGTAGTGGGCAGACAAAGGTAAATAAGACATTGTCATTTTCTCTCAAGGAGAAAATCTACCTATATCAAAGTTTCTCAACCTTAGCAACTTTAAGATGTGTGGATTTCAACATTGCTGGCTGGGGTATTTTGGGAGTTGAAGTCATTAAAGTAGCTTAAAGTTGCTAAGGTTGAAAAACACTGACCTATATGGTCACTAAGAGTTGATGGCATATAATCAATTAATCATTCTCACATCAGTTTTTACTATAATGTTAGGCAATATGAGAAAACTACACTGGGACTCTTAGACCGGTAGTCTACAGATAGCAAGGGATAATGATTAAATCCCTTTTTCATTTTTTAAAAAATAGAAATCAAAAAAGTTTGTAGGTTTCCTATAAGGGAGACATTGACTTGAAACTTTTTCAATATGCTTCATATGAGTTAGAGACAATCCTGTCATATTCATTATGCCTGTTGCCTTTGCTCTCTGTAGTCATGTTAGTGATAATTAGACCTCTCAAATTTTCACCACTATCAGTTGTTTTCCTGGTACATAATCCTGATTCAGGCTATTCATAAACAAAAGCGAAGCCTTAATTTGGTGAACTTTGATAGAACAAATTTTGAATGCAACAGACAAAAATTTCCTTTTTTATTCCATGTTAATATTACCACATTTGCAGTTAGAAAGCCAGCAACACATTACAGTTTCAGATTCTGATTTATGGACTTAAGGTATATTCATAGATACACCTGTCTAACGTCATACTAAACTCCCCCAAAATAAATAATGGCTTTCAACATTTGAAAAGTGCTTTAATATGGATCAACATTTTTAAAGAGAACTTTACTCAGTTTTCATTTACAACTCCAGTAGCATACCATCGCCTTGGTGGGGGGCCATTATGATGACATCCATTCTCTCTCATCATCTTTCAAGGCAAATTAAAATTTGGACTGATCCCAGCAGCAGCCTGTCTGAGGTATGATCTGCTGACACTAGTCTCACAGCAGGAGACCTTACAAATGTTCCATGCTTTGATGGAAGCCTTCTCCTAGATACATTAGTTAATAAATAGACCTAACAGCCACATACCTCAAAGTTCTTCCAAGAAAAAGTCTGATTAAATGAGGAGGATAAATGCTATACTAAATGTGTGGTATTAAGGTCTTAAATTTGGATCAGTTTGAATGATACTCCAGTACCAATTTGACCACATACCATATTTTTCAGAGTATAAGATGCTCCGGAGTATAAGACACAGCTTAGTTTTTGGGGAGAAAAATAGGAGGGGAATCTGCCTCCCAGGTATTCATTTGGCTAGTGTCCTTAGTCTGGTCAACTTCAGCACATTAGTTTGCTGGTTTTTTATCCCCTACTTGGGGATAAAAAACAGCTTCTAAGGCACAGCTGAGAGGAAGCAGCAATGAGAAAAGCAGGCAAAGCACAGGGGGAGATCGCTTCACTCGGCTAGCACCAAGTTAAGGTTGAAAAAAAGCTTCTAAAGAACAGCTGAGAGTCGGAGCAAAGCATGGAGATCGCTTCACTCGCTAGCGCCTCATTAAAGCACAGCAGAGAATCGAGGGAGCAGGCAAAGCTGGGAAGATAGCTTCACTTGCTAGTGCCTCGTTAGCGCCTCATTAGGGCTGAAAAAAAGCTTTGAAAAAGCTACATCGGAGTATAAAACGCACCCAAATTTTCAGCTTCTTTTAGGGGGGGAAAGATGTGTCTTATACTCCGAAAAATACGGTAATTTGCTCTGCAGATAATTTATGCTGTAATTCCTGCTTCTCATTATGTCTGTTAAGAATATCAGCAGCATGTTTTGTGCTTTGAGGTAATGAATACGGCAAAGACCAGGGAAGGTGACATAAGGAGAAGGTGAATTTCTTACCAGGATGTGCTGATATTGAAATAGGGGCATCTTGATATGGGCTATTCATTGTGGGCAGAATTTTTAAGCATAAAAGGAATAGCATGCAATGTAAAGAAACATGCAACTATTATATTGTAAGATACAACATTCAATGGTCATTTTTTGTTATACTGGCCATTGAATATTACATATGTTAATATGTTACAATATGTTATTGCATGCTGAGATAAAATCATATTTAAAAAACATAATGAAACATCTCATGGCACCTTAAAAAATTGAAAAATGGTCCTGGCATAAGATTTGCATGTGTTTTTTTTCTAAATCACACAATTGAAATTCCTTGGCTGATGGAGTCTGTAGTAGGCCCCTTTTGCCAGAACAAGCGGGGTAGATTAGTATAAGTATAATTATAACTATATTATCGTGTTTCCCCAAAAATAAGACCCTGACTTATATTTTTTTGAACCCTGAAATAAGTGCTTGGCCTTATTTTCGGGGAGATCTTATTATTTTGGGGCATGTAGAGCAAAATGGGGCTCCTCTTGCCATCTTATCTGATTTCCAGCTCTGCGTTTAAATGTTTTCAGGGATGCCTTATTTTTGGGGAAACGGGGTATTATATTGCTAAAAGGCATGTTCTTTGTGGACTTGTCTAGTTCCAAATATAGTCTTAACTACAGATCTTTACTGTAATTGCAGGACATATTATGAATTCATCTGGAAGAATTAATGACTTTCCTGAGTACTTCTGGCTGCCTCAGGAGCTAAACCTGTATTTCCAGTCCTAGAACACCAATCCCTAAAGCTTTATGATCGGATCTAAGAGTCAGAATTGGAGACTGGGAGAAGTCCTTTCCCATGCTGCAGATCAGTTAAATCAATATTAAACCATGGATTTTCAATGCAATGCAATTAATGCAAATTGATTCGATGCAATTAATAACACTGGAGACACGGCCAAATATAAATAGTACACATAAATGCTAAGACAAAAAAAAAAGGATTAGTTTTCAACCTTACAATGTGGTGTTTAAATGCTTACAGGCTTGTACCATGATTAAATATATATCTCTAACATGATTCTGATAACCTGACAGAAAATCAGAGATGCAAGACTATTTCTGGCAAAGATGTGCCTCAGAAAACAAGAAGTCAACTAAGAGTTGCCTGGCAATTTGCCACAAGCCTTTGAATCACTGACCTTGAAATGACACTCCTTTTCACGCTTCAGTTCCACTCATCCTCAATGGTGCTTAATATATGAGCTGTGGGTTGGCCATGAGGCTTTTCATTAAAGTTGCCTGGCAATTCCACCAAAGTCAACAAGCTCAGAGGAGATCTTGGAAGAAACTTTGACTTTCATTCATGTGCTCCATCATTCTCTGGAAAACTATTGCTACTGCACATACATAGCTTGACTCTTCTTTTTTAGATCAAGCCTTGCATTTGCAACTATAAAATTAAATTCTGAATATTAAAATCTGCCCAATGTTAACCATTAAAGGTTGCCACTGGCTTGCATAAATGCTGAATTTTGCCCATACAATTTTGGTTTCCCTTTATTTGTGGAGATTAAAATATTTGGATAAAACAACTTGTGCTGCAATTATATTAAGCTGTTCTTTTCAAAAGCATAAAACATTCTATATTTATGTTTTTCTTAAATGCATTAATTTGCTTTAGTTCAAATATCAAATCGTAAGTATAAATACCATATATGCTGCGATGTGATTGTTTGAAATCAAGCTACAAATAAAAAGCCATTTATATACATTCATTTTTTTAAAAAATTAAAGGAATCTTATAATGCTGAACTCTTTGCCAAGGAATAACATATATGTGTGTGTATGTAGATACATTTTCGTCTAAAACTTTTGTCTGCTCCAAATTTCTTCTTTTCAATACATTTGACACTTTCAGGACTATATGCACACGTATCAAATTTCATTAAAGCAAAAGCATCTATGAAGTAGTTCAAAAGAATATCATCCTCCATTTTTTTTGCCCCCCATCACTGCCACAAAAGCATTTGGCCATTCTAGGAAATAGTACGTTGGACTGAATATTTTAGAGTTGTTTTGTCCTATATGGCAGTTTCCCTACTACTGTATATAGTGCTAATATTTTAGCAAATCTGTCCAATTTATTTCAATTATTTTTTTTCATATCTTCATCTACTAGCTTGATTTGGTGCATGACTTAGCTAATTCAACAAAAAAGTAATAATAGTTTCATATGCAATTCTGTATTTTTCCTGATTGTGCATTTTCTGCAGGTGATTTTTCTTTATTACAATGTAATCATTGTCTAAGATATTATTGTTGGGTGCAGAGTGTTCAAGAAGTCAACAGATGTGTTTTTATATAGATTTTCATAGCTATAAGCTAAATTACAAAATTCTAAAAAATATAGATTTTGGTGCACATGTATATCGGAGGAATAGAAGAAGTAAGCAATCTGATGTTGTCCAGATGGTTTGAATTTAAACACTCTTTATCTTATCTTATTTATCTTATTAGTCCCAACAATATGGCTAATGGCAAAAAATTGGAATTGCACCTTGAGATCCAAAAGCATCTGTATTCTCAGCTAGTTAAAATGTTGAAAAATCAAATATGTACATAGAAAATCCCTTCCATTCCTACTTGCATCCTGCATTTGCTGCAAGTATGTAGCTTGTGGGGTTTGAGTTAGGAATTCATAACAGAAGCTTTGTTATTCATTCCCCTCCCTACCCCAAATGTTGTTTACCTCTCTATCAGGCCTGTGTAAGGTGGAATTACTGTTGTTGTGGGGGTCCCAAAGATGCTTTTTCAAGAGGCAACTGGACTTTCTTGTTTTTCTTTCACTTCTCATCCAAGAAGCTTCTTTATCTCTGACTGGATTGTGCAGAATTAATCCACCATCCAGTCAGAGCTGAAGAGGCCTCTTAGATGTCTTCAAAGAAAAACAAGTCCAGTTGCCTCTTGAAAAATCACCTTTGGGACAACCATGACCTGGATGAGTGAAATTCTCCATAGACGTATGTTGTGGGACTATCTTAAATCTGATTGAAGGAACAGTGCAAGCGTCACCAAACAGTGCAAGCATCAAAATGGATAACTATTCTTTGCTTTATCAGGACTGGTAATATAAGACCATGGAAAAACCATGGAAAGTTCTGGAGGCATTGCTTCAGTATGGCTTGGCCATGATAAAGCTTTGATATATACCTGAGGCTACTCAGGTTTATGTAGCAACCTGAAAGGGCACTTTGATGAGCTTTTGCATATCCTAATGTGTGCCCTGCAATCACATGAGCCATTAATTCTAAAATAATATTCTACTTGAGGAAATTCAACTGAATTCATGGTATAAAATGCCACTTCGCACCATGCTATGTGAACCTATCCCTTGTTTATATATTAGTTTTCTATTTTCTCTAAAAAATATTCCAACAATTTTCCACAGTTGGCAAAGTCCCAAAATATATTTAAAAAGAAGTATGAAATCTGTTTATAGCCCCACACAGTTATGGGTTTACCAATCCCTGCCCCTTGCTTGCCTTCCATCTCTTAATCACACTGCGGTTTCCACCCCAAAAATAAATCACTGATGACTGATAAATCATGAGTGGAGAATGAGTGGGGAAGTGGACCTATCTCCCATTCTGTATAATTTATTTATTTATTTTATTTAAATTATTATGTTTATAATGTGCAAACCTAGAAGAGGTAGAGACAATTTTTCATAGGGATCAGAAATGTGAAATGGCATTTTTTCCTATGTTAACTCTTATAATAAATTAATCATAAGCAGTTAATCAGTGACCCAGTCATGAATAACATTAATAATAAAGTTACATTGGTTTAAACAAAGCTTTCTTCCATATTGGTACAAAGCAGGAAGGAATCCACAAGCCTGGGCTTCACCAACTGCTGGAAATCTGATTCTTGAAGACCATCAGGGCTCATCACAGCTAACCGTCGTAAAGCTGCCTACGAGAAAATGTGATGACACTTTTAAAATGTTAATGACAATTAGAATGAACCATGCTTTAGACAATGCTATATAAATCTATTTGAGAACAGACTCATATTCTGAAGTTCAGTGAAAGTTCCTTGTGCTGTTTACCTCCCAGTGAAGGCTAAATCTAGTGCTATGCATATAGTAGCTCGGTCAGTTGGTTCACTTGAATTAATTAGAAATGGGCAGCAATTGTTTACGAGAATCCAGAAGGCAGGGGAGGAAAGGGCTTATCTCTGAGTTCCTCAACTTTGCCCCCCACGGAATGCTGCCCTTCCCTAACAACATTTGTTTGCTTGTTTTAAATGTAATTGCTAATACAAATGTTATTTTAATTAAATAAATTAAAAGGATTACTTTTTTTCACAAAAGAGAACTTTTCAAATCACTTGGGTCCTGCAGGTCATAAATGTTACCTTTATTTGTATCTACTAGATTCATTTATATAGATCATATCTTGCAGAGGTGGTATTCAGAAGATTCTGACCAGTTCTGGAGAACAGGAAGCAGAAATTTTGAGTAGTTCAGAGAACCGGTAAATACCACCTCTGACTGGCCCCGCCCCCATCTATTCTCTACCCGCGAGTCCCAGCTGATTGGGAGGAAATGGAGATTTTGCAGTAACCTTCCCCTGGAGTGGGTTGGGAATGGAGATTTTACAGTATCCTTCCCCTGCCACGCCTCACCAAGCCACACCATGCCCATCAAGCCACGCCCACAGAACCGGTAATAAAAAAAATTGAATCCCACCACTTATATCTTGTTGAGACCCTCTTCATAGAGTTTGAGAGGTAGGATTGATCAGGATGTTTTTTGGTGCCTTAGGCAAAGAAAAGATCCACAATTACCATAACAATGACCAAACCTCCAGGTACATCTTACTTCCAAATTAGTAATTTTCTAGCATTTACCAGTAACTGAAGCTATCAAGCACCTTAACTCAGGCAGGAAAGTCAAATGGTGGCACAGTCAAGAGCATTAGTGACCCAGTGGTTAGAATACAGTATTGCAGGTTAGCTCTGCCCACAGCCTGGAATTTGATCCTGATGGGCTTAAGGTTGATTCAGCCTTCCATTCTTCAAAGGTCGGTAAAATGAGAGCCGATTGTTGGGGGCAATGTGCTGATCTTGTAAACTACTCAGAGAGTGCTGTAAAGCACTATAGAGTAGTATTTAAGTCTAAGTGCTATTACTACTGTTATTGCCAAATGGTACATTAAGGTTGGTCTTCCAGCATTTCCTGACATCCCTACATATTCAGGTGAGGCAACTGTCCAATAGGAGAGCCAGATCTGACAGGCGGACATGCTATTTCATGATTCATAATCTCTTTTCCTTTTTATGCTACTTCCTACAAGAAAGTTAATGAAGAATAGATTTATATTGGAGCAGGCCAACATAATGCTCAGAATCTGCCTGCTTTCCCTTCTGAACTAAAGTCATCATTGCACCTCCATTCTTTTTACAGCCAATATATTTAAAGGTAAAGGTAAAAGTTCCCCTCGCAAATATGTGCTAGTCGTTCCCAACTCTAGGGGTTGGTGCTCATCTCCGTTTCAAAGCTGAAGAGCCAGCGATGTCCGAAGATGTGGTCATGTGGCCAGCATGACTAAATGCCAAAGGCTCACGGAACGCTGTTACCTTCCCACCAAAGGTGATCCCTATTTTTCTACTTGCATTTTTTACGTGCTTTCGAACTCCTAGGTTGGCAGAAGCTGGGAAAAGTAACGGGAGCTCACTCCATTATGGGGCACTAGGGATATATATATAATGTATTTAGGAACCCACATAAAGTAACTTCAGCCTATCCCTCACTTGGGTTGCATTAATTATATGTCAGCATTTTCTACAGCAACAATTCTATACTTCAAATTCCTTGGCTTAATGATGGAATGGAAAATGGCTTGTTCTCAGTAAACGAACAAGCAAACAAATTGAATCATTTAAAGAAAGAAATACAATTTTAAAATTTAAACCATGTTATATAAAGGTGTTCCATGCCCCAAACCCCCAATGCATTTTCTAGTAGAAGGCAGTTTTGTTTCTAGAGACTTTGTGCCAATGAAGGATTCTGAAGGTGAATCATGGATTTATAATGTGACTTTAGGCAAGCCTAAAATTAAGATAAAAATTATTTGTGTGCAATTATTAATATATAACTGCTTTTATTTTGATGGATGTCTGCAAGTTTATGACATTACAAATAATAAATCATCTGATTTCCAGCCATGTGGAGACAAAAAAATTGAATGCAAATCTCTTTTGCAGAAACAAATATTGCTTACTTATCTTCATTAAAATAAGGCAGCTGTTTCAGAAATTATTTTACCATATTATGAGATGGGAAGTTGCAGAAGGCTAGATATCCCTTGTAGCAATCAGACAAAATATATTTTCATTGAAAAGAAAATGATCTCAGACTACTAAGCTTTAAGATTTTAACTTTGAAAACCTCCATTGCTGATACTCTCCTGAAGGAATATTTGTCTAAAATGGACAGGTTTTAACGGACAGAAAAGAGCCAGATCACAATAAAACTTGTAGATACAATTTAGGATGTCAAATGTGCTCAAAAGATTAGTATCTGATGTTATGAAATATATGTTTACTTCATTGGTAACCACAATAAAGTTTATTTTCTCTTTTTTAAAAACTTATATGTCCCTGTGGAAAATAACTGAGGAGAAGGGGATCAATAGACAGAGGAAAATATTTTGCTGGCAAATACTCTTGCAACAGCTGACATTATGGAATTGAATATATTCCTTTTCAGTTAAATTCTGTTCCTGTCTGTTGCAGATCTGATCTGGATAGCTAAAGAATCTTCTCAATAGTGAGGGATGTGAATCAGAAGGCTGAAATCTGGCAAGATTAGCTCTCCTACCCTTCCAGCCAATAGGAACTCTTGATGATGAATGTCTGACTAGCAAAATAAAATGAAAGAAAAGAGGGAACAATCAGAGGTGAGCTTCACATAATTTAACAACCAGTTTGCCCAGAATCGAAAATGTGAGCGCTCATGCACATGCGCGCTGCATCAAAAACACAGCGATCGTATAGGACTGGATAGCTTCGCTCATGTGCCTTGCCACATGCATGCTGCATCAAAAACATGGCGATTGTATAAGATGGAATAGGGCGGGGGCAGGGGGACGGGCCAAGCCACTGGCTGTAACTACTGATTCGCCCAAACTGATCTGAACTGGCTGAATCCCACCCTGGGAACAATTAGATGCCCTTACCAGACAAGCAACAAGAACAGAATCACTCTTATTTCTTTCACCTGGAGACCTGCAAAGTTGTATGAGACGTGGAATACCTAAAAATGATTTGAAAAGAACATTGATTAACAATTTATTCTGTGTGTCATATTTTCTAGATCGGGATGGGCAACTGTGGCCCTTTTACAACCTATGGACTTCAACTCCCAGAATTCCTGAGCCAGCTTGGCTGTCTCAGGAATTCTGGGAGTTGAAGTCCACAGGTTGTAAAAGGACCACAGTTGCTCACCCCTGTTCTAGATTTATCCATTTCAGTCAAAATGTTGTAATGCCATAAAAAGTGACGCTTAGAAAAAGCTGGAAAGAAAAAAAACCCCACTTCTTTTTACATAGCACAAAATATAAACACTAAGAGAATTCATAGTTCTCTTTGCAAAGCCAGTGAATATAATAAGTCCAGGCATATCGGACTTAATTTATTCAATGATAAATGCCATTTTAAGGGATTCCTTTTTTCCTTTATCTAGAAGAGTCCCATTCACACCTTCGAAAGCTAGTACTGAGTTTTCTGTGAACAACATTGTATCATTTTGTTGGGCATCTGGCTTAGCATGTACAAGTGCATTGTCATGAGCAGTTTCATATAGGTAGTCCCAGGGGTGAAATTAAAAAAGTTCCCTACTGGTTCTGTGGGCATGGCTTGTTGGGGGGAGGTCATGTGACTGGGTGGGTGTGGCCAACTCGACATCACTCACATCGAGGGGGTTCTTCACCGGCCCTTCCCTTCCCAGCCACTCCTTGCCGCAAATGGCAGAAAAATGGGAGGGGAATATTCCTGCCTACCATCCTTCCCTCAGTCTGTGATGAGATTGAGGTATGGATGACAGGCAGGAAAATCCCCTTCCTCATTTTCCTGCCTTTCACGAAAACGGCTTCATTCCAGCTGCTTCCCCCCCATCCCCCTCCCTCCTGGGGACCACCTTAAAAGGGACAGGCTGCAGCAGTTCCGTTGTGAATGGAAGGAGAAAAGCTAGCATTCTCTCTGCTGCATTTAACATTGAATTCTGTGGAATATCGGTGAACTGATGCCCATAATCCCTAGCAGTTCGCCCAAACCAGTCCAAACCGGTAGGATTTCACCCCTGGGTAGTCGTCAAAATTACAAGGACCTCCCCAGGACTGCTTATGATAGCTGCCCCTGACCCCAACTGCTTGGCAATTGGCTGTATTTTGGCCATTTGCAGCATCATGTGACCAGATTTAACAGGTTTTTGCTGAAAAATGGGATTTATTTTCTACAAAACCAGTCTATAGCAAACAATTGATTCACTTAATGACCGCCACAAAAAAGGTTGTAAAATTAGGTTGGCCACAGGACAACTTTATGATTGTCACAACTTACAACCGTAATAGGCAAGCTCCATTACAGTCATAAATCAAGGATTATTTTTACGGCTAACTGAACTCCAAGCTGCCAGTTGGGGCAATCATTGGTTGATTTGTAAAACACAAATCTTTTAAAAAATGAATGACCAGTACTGGAAAATAGATTGGTTCTTAGTTGACATGCAATGGAAAAAAGTAGCATTCAGCCAACACTGGGCCAAATAATGTCCCTTTGATGTATCAAATCATTTAAATACGTACAGTTGAGTTTTATGGCTGAATTAGCTACTTCAGGATCACGGCTAAGCCGAGCAAGTGTCACTGCGGCTTTTTGTTGAACTTGTTCACAAGCAGTTCTTTCGGGTGAATTCCCAAATGATGATTTTTCAGACAGCATTTCCATTAAAACTTGAATACCTACAAAAGTGTAAAATATTGCTGTCAATTTTCCAAGAACACATTAAAAAGAATTGCTGGTATAAACATTATAGTTGAAGATGAAGCAACACATAAACCAAGCCAACATAATTGCAGGAGACAAAGCTAAATCCCTAATCCCCAATCCTCACCCTTGCTCTTTCAAATTCTGCCTTTCTCCCATCATTATTCAAAATATAAAAAGGAGAAGTGGTAATTTTAAGAAAGTAACTTACTTAAGCAGCATAGATTTAGCTGCTTCTATTGCCAATCCTCTGCTATGGGATGAGAATGGCATCCTCATTTCCCATTTCCCACCACTAATGTCACAAGCCAGAGGTGAAAAACATCAATCCAATAGCATGGATGGCAGTTCTGACAAATAGCAACAACTTCAGTGTAATTATTTGTCAGAACTCATCCCCTTCTTCACTTGCCACTTTTCCTAGCCACAAAATCATCTCTTCCAGACTAAGGGGAGATACAGTTCTTTACTGCAGTTGATCCCTGGTTTGGAAACCTGGATAAGCCCTAGTTGCTGACAGTCCAACAACAGCAAGCTGCTTCTCTCTGCTATTTCATCAGGCAACAATTACAAAGAGATGGTCCACTGTTGCCAGGGCAATTTTTGGGTGTAAGAGAGCACTTAAACCTTAACAAGAACACTAAGTCTATATTCAAAAGCAGCTTGAACAACAGTATATGAAGAATTCAACAGTGAAGCAGTAGAGAGAGATGGCTCCCTCTCTGTTTCTTCACTGGCACGTTTCCCAAAATAGGGAGGTATAAAAATATCATCATTCCATGTATCTGAAATAGAAAAAAAGCCATGATTTTGAAATTGCAGGGTCTTGCCCAGTGGTGGGTTTCAAAAATTTTTACTACTGGTTCTGTGGGTGTGGCTTGGTGGGCATGGCAGGGGAAGGATACCGTAAAATCTCCATTCCCACCCCACTCCAGGGGAAGGATACTGCAAAACCCCATTTCCTCCCGATCAGCTGGGACTTGGGAGGCAGAGAATAGATGGGGGTGGGGACAGTCAGAATTTTTACTACCGGTTCTCCGAACTACTCAAAATTTCTGCTACCAGTTCTTTAGAACTGGTCAGAACCTGCTGGAACCCATCTCTGGTCCTGGCTGTAGGTATTTCAGAAAGAAAATGACATAAACCTGAATCCTTACAAGGTCAAGATTCCGAGATTTGAAAATGTGAAAATGCAGAATTTTAGTCTCAAAAAAAGATACATTTAGATCTTTAGTAATCCTGCTGTATAGCGTTATATTAAATGCTGTTTAGCTGAAGGATCCTATTTCAGTTTTGTTTTCACATGTGTAAATCTTTTGTGCGTTTGTCAAAATATACGTACCATTTTGTTGGATTATTTCTGAAGCACACTGGTCCAGCACAGACAAGTTTGCTAATACAGTTACAATCTAAATTAAAAAGAGGCAATGGTTTCAAAATTTACATTATACAACTGTTATTATAATGACTTATAAATCATTGATCAGCTACTTGGGAAATTACTTCTCCACTTAGACCCATTGTTCTTATTGCCATCGCAAGAAAGCTCCTATTCTTATTGTGATTTTCCCATGACCTGTAATTGTGCAAATAGGATGGGCCTCTGTTGGACACAAATGCAGGAAATCACTGTGTTCAAAGTTTTCATGAAGCTACAGATATTTTATTTTAAAAACTGTAGGCAGGGATAGGCAACCAAAATCCTGTGTGGTGGTCTTCTCTTCAGGCCCATGTTTTCCCCAGCATTTCACTGGGAAATCTTCAGGCAAAAAATGGTTGAATCTTAATACAAATATAAAAATCTCAGACTGGGAAATGTGATACACCTATTTTGTATGAAGGCATTTTTAAAAGGATGAAAAAAATTGTGTCACCCACTTAAATGACATACTGTAACTGCATCATTGCCATACTTTCTGCAGCTCTCAAAGACTAAAAATATTAATATCAGCAGAACAACCATAAAAATAGTGGCCTTGGCTCCTATGTTGGAGGCTGAATTTTGTTTTGTTTTCCTCTACTTAAATTTCTGTAATACTCAAATCAGAAATTTCTGCAGAAGGGTTAGGGATAGATATTTTAGTTAGTTAGTTAGTTAGTTAGTTAGTTAGTTAGTTAGTTTTATATTCCGCTTATTCGCCCATGGCGGCTTATATTACAGAATATAAAACCACATATGTCAATATGGCAGTTTCAATTATGCAATCATGACTATCATTATAACTTTGCTTATCCTTTGCAGGTACTCCTGGTTCATATCACCCTTTCAACATGAGCAACATATAAATATGGGAGGGGGGATTGTTTTGTTTTTAGTACTTGGACAAGACATCCTGTTACCCAAAATAGAAGACACTCTTATCAGAAACCTTTATGAATAGAAGGAAATGGAGGAACCTCTTTTGCTGATTTCTCTTCAACTTGTTCCACTTCCCCCTAAACTAACTTCCTGTTGAGGAGTCTTGTGAAACACCATAGAATATGAATGGAGTATGGACACTAGAGAAAACAAAGAGGATTAGAAAACTGATGTCCTTCCTGCTTCTATTCATGGAGACCTTTCTTGAAAAATCTGCCAGGAATAGAAGAACAATCCTAACCCAAGAACCAGAGAATGTGGAGTCCTGGATTTTTTTTCAGTGCCCACTGCATTGACACATTAAATAATGATGAATAGTGTTACAAAGTCATGATTTATACATTCAAAAAGGTAAGACCTTATACATAATCAAATGGAGATAAATACAGATATGCTGCTGTAAGAAAACTGTTCACAAGATGTCTATGGAGATTCTTACTCATCCAGGTCATGGTTGTCTCCAAAGTTCTTTTTTTTCAAGAGGCAATTGGGCTTTCTTGTTTTTCTTTGAAGATGTTTTGCTTCTCATCCAAGAAGCTTCTTCAGCTCTGACTGGATGTTGGGGAATGGTAGGATTTATATTTATATTACATCCAGTCAGAGCTGAAGAAGCTTCTTGGATGAGAAGCAAAACGTCTTCAAAGAAAAACAAGAAAGTCCAATTGCCTCTTGAAAAAGCACCTTTGGGATGTTCACAAGATGGAAACACTTGTATAAAGCCAGACTCAGTTTTTTGAGTTCAACCAAACCAGCTTCAGTAATAGATACAATACACCAAAGACAAGTTGTCTTCTCTTTGGCTTCCTTTTCCAATTGCCTCCTTCCTAGGGCTGAGAGAAATATATACTTGATATATCAAAAGTCAGGCCCCATAGACTAATACCAATATGTTTTATTAGTTAATTGATCTTTTTTTTCAGAAAAGTTGTTACTGTACTTAGGGAAGTTCAAAGCTGTCTCAGTACTGTAAATAACTTAAATGGTGGTTTATTTCATCTACATTCGCCCATTCCGTTTCCTTAATATAATTTATTCTTATTCATATATGAAATATATAGCTTGTCTTTCTTTCACCAGAGTAACTTACTATATATGGCAAACCATTCCTCATATTTTCCTTAGAACAAAAACTGTGTAAGGTAGGTTAGGTAATGAGAAAATGATTTTCCAAAGTTATCCAGTGATTCCTGAGAATGGACTTGAATATATGTGGCCCTCATCCTACTTTAACATGACCATGCTACTTGTCCCAAATTTTCCTTCTTCGGTCTGTATGTATACATCAATTTTTGACTCCTTCTGACTACCTGGACTGGTTCCTGAAGTTTTCTTGGCAAGTTTTCTTGAAGATGATTTGCCCTTACTTGCTTCCTAGATCTTGAATTTGGCCCAAAGTCACCCTGCAGGTTCTGTGCCTAAGGTATGACTATATTGGCTCCTCATTAGTTTAAGTCTTTCTTTAATTGAAACTACCAACATGAGGTATGATAGTCTCCAGTGTCCAAATATTCACATAATAAATTACTCAGCAATCCTAAAAGATAAAGGTTCCCTTTGCACATATGTGCTAGTCATTCTATGGGGCGGTGCTCATCTCCGTTTCAAAGCCAAAGAGCCAGCACTCTCCGAAGATATCTCTATGGTCATGTGGCCGGCGTGACTAAATGCCAAAGGAATGCTGTTACCTTCCCACCAAAGGTGGTCCCTATTTTTCTACTTGTATTTTTTACATGCTTTCGAATTGCTAGGTTGGCAGAAGCTGGGACAAGTAACAGGAGCTCACCCCGTTATGTGGCACTAGGGATTCGAACCACTGAACTGCTGACCTTTTGCTCGACAAGCTCAGCGTCTTAGCCTAGAGTTGCCTATTTAGACTTGCCTATTATTCCAATTTCAAAATACCTCGATCTAGGAACCCACTTTACCCTCAATTAATTCCTTAGAATTTTTGTTTTTATCATTTTGTTAGAATGTTTAAGCAGCATTCATTGTGCTTAAGGGTTATTAGGTTGTTGTTGTTTTTTGTCAGTCACAGTACATTCAAAAGCCTCTGATTAATCTATTCTTTGCACTCTGAAATGTTCTGCTTCATTTGGAGTTGGGTTTTTCTGAGAAACAAATATGCAATGACAATACAATAGTCTACAAGAACAATTTTAGTGAACGATAAGCAGAAGTTTTAGTAACCAGGTCTCCAATCAACCATATTATAAGTTTTAGCACCCAGAATAAAGAAAAACACACAATGTCTTTTCTACAGCAAGAAGATATAGGATTGCAGAGGTTTCTTTTGTTTTTAGCTGATGCTGCACATAAAAAGAGTATTTTTCAAAGTGTTTGCAAAGAGAGGTGGAAGCAGCTATGGCATGGAGAAAATTAAGGAAAAGACCAGAAATAGAGGAGGGATATGGGATGGGATGAGGGATATCTCTCGTGACCTAGAGAAGAGATCTCAGTAAAGCATTTGAAAATGAGGAAAAATTGCTTTTTTCCCCCATAGAAGTACACTTCTGCAGAAAACTGGAGAAAAAGACTTAAATGTGGGAAATAACAACTGAGAATTGAAAATGATGATGTTTAGGGTCTCTGAGAGAGAGAAAACAAGAAAAGCAGAAGACAGTTGAGGAAAGCATTTGAAAATCGAAAAAACAATGGAATTTTCTTTCATCGTTACAATCTCACTTTTTTCTGGTGGTCAGCAATTTACACTGTGGAGTATTATGTTAATTAATTAATATTCACAAGAAAATAGTTTTTGTGCAGTTTTATTATGATTGCTGACATGAGTAGAAAAAAAAATCAATCCTAAAACAAGGATTATAGCATCATTTCATTATGTGGTCAAAGTACATAAACATGAAATTGCCAATATTCGTTCATGATGATCTAGATATGCTATGAAACACATTCAATTTTTTGCTGTGGTGTCTTTTATTTCATTCGACGGTAGAGATTTGCGTTGTTGTGGCTTGGTTACCAAAGACTATGAGGGATCATTATTTGCATCTAGAAATAGCTGAACTTTGCTGCCACAGTTCCATTAGAGAGGGAGGCATTCAATTAACTGCTTTTATCGATGCAATGGATTCTGTCAACAAAGCAGGGAGAGGGGAATTCCCCCTTCCTCTACTGCTCCTCTTGAACTCTGCAAATGCTGTGTGAGTGGGAGAGAATATTTCAGGGATGAAGAGAAGGGAAATTCCTACAGCACAAAGGCAAAACAAGTCCTGGCATTAGATTTATCTTCTTTTTAAGGAGGAAAAAAATCATTTATTTGCTTAATGATCTTTCCCCACAACAAATAAAGATAGGGAAAAGATGATTTGACTAAAGATTGTTCTTGTGAAGTCGTGTCCAACTCTTTGCAACCCCATGGACCATAGCACACTAGGCTCCCCTGTCCTCCCCTGTCTCCCTGAGACTGCCCAAACTCATGCCCACTGCTTCAATGACCCTATCTAACCACCTCATCCTCTGCTGTTACCCCCTTCTCCTTTTGCCTTCCATCTTTCTCAACATCAGGGTCTTTTCCAATGAGTCTTCTTTTCTCATTTGGTGGTTTCTCATTTGAGTTTCAGCTTCAGTATCTCTCCTTCCAAAGAACAGTCAGGACTGATCTCCTTTATGATTGACTGATTTTTATTTCCTTGCAGTCCAAGGGACTCTCAATAGTCTTCTCCAAGATCACTAAAGATATCTAAAGGTAAAATAATCAAACTCTACTTAATTATTCCTTGAAGAGTCCTCTGTGAAACTGCGTATATGCATTCATGTATATGAAAATGTGAACAAAGGAAGAACCCATTCTTATGTCTGGAAGCTTCTTATATGTTTGTAAACAAAACATTTTGATTGCATCTAAAGATACAAACAAGGAACCAATTGATATACCACACTAATTAGGATAAAAAGATTGATTCTACATTGCTAGGGTTGGTAAAAGCCAATCTTCCAAACTCTTACCTGCATTTATTTTTATATCCATTATGAACTAGTGTGCCACTTTTTAATTTCTTAAGTATTTTTGAGAAATTTAATTACACAATTCATCATTTTCAGCTTTGTTAACAGAGACAAACTGATTACCTCATTTCTTACTCTGCTCCTGAATTTGTTCTTTAAATGTAAGGCCAGTCACTTTATAAATGACTGTCACACATGCCAGGATATATTATTATGCAAAGCATTCAAAAGAAATAACAAAAAAGAACTTCAGCCATGCAATGACGTTTGCAAAACAAAACTAAACAAAAAAAAAGAGTATTGTTTCTGGATACAATTCAAGCTCTTAAGTCTCCAAATGCCATATATTGATTGAGAGCTGAAATAAATAAGGGATTGTTAATAAAGATGCTGACTCTTATATCAATAAAAATGTTTATGGAGGTTGTTCCTCTAAGGCATCCCAACACAGGAAAACCAGCACCATATTCTCTCCTCTCCTCTCCTCTCCTCTCCTCTCCTCCCCTTTCTCTTTCTCTTTCTCTTTCTCTTTCCCTCCCTCCCTCCCTCCCTCCCTCCCTCCTTCTCTCTCTCTCTCTCTCTCTCAGACACACACACCGGTATCCAGGAATTCACAAAATGATTTAGCATATGAAATAGAAAATATTTGTTTCCAACCTTACTGCAATTCGACTGACTGAGCAGAGGTGACACTATCCATCTTACCAGGTCGAAGAAGCAATATGAAGAAGCAACATGATTGTGACCCAGCACTTCAGGTTATATTAAAGCCTCAGCTGATAGTTTCAATAAAAAGAAAGGGCTTCTGATATAGTTCTCCTGGGTAATAGGTTATAAGAGGTGGAAAAAACAATGCCAAGAAAGAAAGTGTCGTTACTTCTTTTTACTAGGAGTAGGAAGTACACCTTGCTTGAGGAAGCAGCTTGAAAGAATGGTTTCATTCAAAGCATTGTCCTAGTTTCAGGTCTGCATAAGAAGGACCCATAGAAATAAATTGGCTTGATTTCATCCAAGGTTGGAGAAACTGTAGACTTCAGATGTCTTTGAACAATAACTCATCACTATCAAGTTGACTGATATCAAAGGAACTCCATCCTTGTCCTAATTAGTACTTGGATGAGAAATTAAATAGAAGGGTACATAACGATTCTGTTATAGGACCAGAATCAGAAATAGACAGTTTGTAGCTCAAGTTGTAGGTTTGTCCTCCAAGCTTGCTGCTTGGTTCCTGGATGTTTCATTGTGCCAAATTAGATAATACCTTCAGTGGGTTTTTTTTGGGTGAAGTGTCTTGTTTGTTTATATAGGTCCTGGGTGATCGGTCCTGGTTTATATAGGTCCTGGGTGATGGACTGGTTTAATCACAGGTCTATTGAATCACATGACTGATTCACAAGGCTGGTTGATTTATAAGACTGACTTAGAACCACTGTATGAACCAATGAGAAAGCAGACCATCTGAACCCCCAATCGATGAGCACCCCAGGCCACACAAGCTGAATTTCACACCTCACAGCAACCAGTCAGAAGTCACAAGACCAGAACCAGTCTTGTGAATTAATCAGCCTTGTGATTTAGTCGGTCCTGTGATTCAATTGGTCCTGTGATTCAACCAGTCACAAAACCACAAAACCGGCCACCCAGGACCTATATAAAGAAACAAGACACTTCATCCCCAAACCCTCCTGCTG